CCCATCCAGACGGCAAACCGAGAAATGGGACCGGCAGAAAGTCTCCCAGATTGCTTCGTAATTATGCTTTGAATCCACGGTTTAATTTGCAATCGCTTCTGATGCGTGGTAGAATTACCCTCAGGATTACAGTAACCCTGATGAGTCGTAGGAGAAACCGGACTAATAGAAAGACGATCACAGATTTTGCCAAACATGATAAATCCAGCGAAGGTAAGAAATAATGATGATGCAATGTAATGTAACTTGGTAATTAGTAAAAGAATTAAAATTTATGCAATAAAACAAAACGATTGTAGCAGGTAGAATACAACAACACTATGACATGTATTCATTTCTTTTTTACGGTTCCGTAAAGCGCCTTAATTTCACACTCTTAAGAAAATTGAAACGTTCTATTTTATTTATTTATCTTTGATATTAAGTGCTGAATGGCTAATGAGAATAACGCAGAGAAAGAGAGTCACTTCTGCTCAGAGGTAGGTATGTAGAAATTTCTAAAACCTGCAGGAACTCAGCGCTGAGTGCTAATAGTTTTTAGAAATTTTTTATACAACTGAGGAGAAGTAACTCTCTCTCCCTCTGAGTTATTCTCATTGGCAGTGTGTGCTAGCGTCCTCATTTGTTACAAACATGCAGCACGATATTTTGTATAAGACTTTTATGTTTGTCGACAAAAAGATAATATCAAGAGCCACATGTGAAAAGGGCATCCAAGCTTTTTGTAAACAAACCTTTGTAGACACTTTTCTCGCCAACCGCAACCGCAACTGTTGCCCACGCAAACCAACAACATCATCGGAAAAGGTAAAGATTCTCCTACCCGATGATGATGATGGTTTGCGTTGGTGTCATATGGGTGGCGAGAAAAGGGCATAAGAAGGTTTGTTTACAAAAAGCTTGTATGCCCCTTTCACATGTTGTTCTTGATATTATGTTAACACATAATCAACATAATATTGCGTGCCCAATTTCAACACACACACAAAAGTCGTTAGGAACTAGTAGGGTTAACATCCTATTTCCGGCCTATTAAGTACAACCAGCACTTAATCTTTCTTAATCTAGCGCAGTTTAGCACCGAACGGAATGTTATTATTACTGATGGCTTCCAAATGTATTTACCTTTCCGTATGTACCGTAAGATTTGAAAAAGAGAAACCAATCGTTGAGATATTGTCAAAAGTCTAACACTGCTTCTTGGCCTACTGGCGGATTCTAAACTCGGCCTAACGCATTGGAATGCCAATAATTCACTTCGGCCTATCGGATGAAGATAAAAATTGATTCGGTCGGAGCGCTTCTTTTGTTTTTGGAAATAATGGGTGCAAACCTTCATATCACGCGTACTCTTAGACTTCGTCCCGTAGCTTAATAACTAAAGTATCGTACAAAATGCATAATTGACTTATTAACTCTGAAATCATGGATTTATTTGAAGTTTTCTGCTCAATAGGCCCAAAATGGGTGATTAGGCCGAAGTAGTTCTCTACCCTACGTCTAGCGATCAGAATCATAAGATTCATAAGGGAACTGCGATGAGCGATTCTCCCCAAGTAACCACCAAGCCCGTTTACCTTATAACTATACTATATCATTTTTTTTCCTTTGTAAATTGATCTATTGTAGTATATCCAGTGTCCTTAGTTTAGTGCATGTCGTATTACTCCATCACTATTGAGAAATGATGAAGTATTCGATTTTTTTACAGTTGCAGGGCTGTTACAACAGGCGCGGATTTCGCAAATTTCGCGGATTTCGCGAATTTCACGGATTTCGCGATTTTCGCGGATTTGTCGCGGATTTGAACTTTCAGTCGCGAAAATCGCGGAAAAATTAAATGATGTCGCGAAAATCGCGAAGGGACTGATGTGCTGTCACAAAAAATGTGGAATTCATTGTAACCGTCCCGGATAATTTTGCTGTCATCAATTTTGTTGTTCATTTGGCTCTCCGTTTTTGACCGGTTCAAACCAAATACCCTGTAAATAATCGAAAAATGATCTCAATTCCATAAGTCACACCGGATTTACACGGAAATTCCCTGAAGTCTGTCCAATGTGAGACATTTTCCTTTTTTCCAATAAGAACATAGCATTTTTCGTTGTCAAATCATAAACGAATCGTATATAAGCGAGTAATTGCCATGTATACCGGATATTCTAGGTTCTCCAAATCGTCCTGGAGTTCAATTGATTTGTTCTACTATATCAAGCAAGACTGCAATAATGTCTGTAGTATCGAAATATGTCCAAAAAGATTCAAAGTATCTATGTGGATTGTACCCGACCTATACGACCTACGTATACAAGATGTTATAGGTTCTGAAATCATTCTGTAGATCAGGTTATTTTTCTGTAGATCACCCAAGACTAATTCAATATCTGTAGTATCGAAATATGCCCAAACAAATTTGCAGTGTCTATGTGGATCATGCCAAATGTTTTAGGATTTCCAAATCGATATTCGATACTACAGATATTATCCTAGTCTTTGTTGATCTAGTAAAACAAATCATCTGAACTGCAGGACAATTTGGAGAACCTAGATCATCTGGTATACGTGGAAATAATTAAACATTATCCATATAGACACTATGAATCTGTTTGGACATATATTTATGCTCTCAGTCATGGTTGATCTAGTTGAATAAATCATCTGAACTCCAGAACGATTTCTTCTTCTTCTTATTCGCATTTCAAGCTTATTGATTAGTGCATATTAGCTTATTGCATGCTCTCAACTTAGTGTTCTAAATGCACTCTCAAAGTTATTAATTGAGAGCTTTCGATGCCAATACTCTATTCATACTCTATTCCCAGGGAAGTCGAGAAAATTTCCAGCCCGAAAGATTCCCTCGACCGGACCGGGAATCATATCCGCCGCCTCCGGCTTAGTAATACCGTGCCTTTACTGACTAGGCTATGAGGCCCAGAACGATTTGGAGTACTTAAAACATCTGGTATACATGACAATAGTTCATGCATGATCCACATAGACACTGTGCATCTGTCTGGAAATATTTAAATACTAAAGACATTGTCCCAATCTCGGTTGATCTAGTACATCGAATTATCTGAACTCCAGGACGATTTGAAGAACCATGATCCACATAGACACTTTGAATCTGATTGGACATATTTCGATACTACAGACATTATTGCAATCTTGGTTGATCTAGTACAACAAATCAACAATGTCCTGGACGATTTGGAAAACCTATAATTTCCGGTATACACAGTAATGAGTCGTGCATGATCGACAAAGTCACATTTATACGATTCGGTTATGATTTGACAACGAAAAGTGCTAGGTTCATATTAGAAATAAAAAAAAATATCATGAAAATGTCTCACCATTGGGCAGAACCCAAGGAATATCCGTGTAGATACACAACCGCGACGTGACCAACAAGCGTGACTTATGGAACTTTGGTAATTTCTCGATTATGTGCAGGGTGTTTGGTTTGAATCGGTAAAAAATTGAGAAAAGTAGAGCCAAATTAACTACAACATTTAGGACAGCAAAATTCGTCTCTGGTTAATTTTCAAGAAAATTTGCATTTGAAATGAAAATGCATTAATTTTTTTTTTATAATGTTTCATCAAATCCAGGCCGGTATTATTAAATATTATTTTCACTATTACTCAGAATTTATACTAAAGATGATACAATGTTATTCTTTTTTTTTTAATTCAAAGGTTACAAACGATACTCCTTTAGCTCAGTCGGTAAAGGCGCAGGTCCGTCCGGTCTATTAATTTTTCGGGTTGGAAAATTTCTCTACTTCCTAGGGCATAGGATGGTACAGGCATAGAAAGCTCTCAATTAAAATGTGAAAGTACTTCAAATAACACTAAGGCAAAAATCTAATATGCTTGTCACGGATTAGTATTTGAAGTCGCGGATTTCTTTTGAGAAATCGCGGATTTCGCGGATCAAATTTATAAAATCTTGTAACAGCCCTGCAGTTGCCACTCTTCCATTTATCGCAAGGATCCGACTCTCATTGAAAGGTCCCGCTATTTATACCCTTCGGAGTGTTGAAACACCATCCAAAGGCGCGCCCCTTTGTCAGTCAAAATTTGATTCCTTAGCAACAAAATTAAGGTATGACACCGACAATGACCATGCATCAGAACCCTAGTCTTAACCACTTCAAACTAGAGAACAACGAATAGAAGATTAGGAATCACATAGATGAAGACAACTAACTCATTTTTTTCCTTCTTTCAAGATCATCCTCGGTAGACAAAGCCGAGTCTTGTCACTATCAACAAGGCATAAAAAGTAACAAGGACTAAAATGTGTTTCTTGGATTACTGAAAAATCCTGTTCCCCTAGTTTGAAGAAGTCAGGACTAGGAATCGGTGGTAGATCTTACATCCCGTAATGTACCACGAAAAGGTGATCTACCCACGTTACGGGGCATATATATACTATATCATACTATTATAGTATTTTCTGAGGCAAACGATTTTTTTTTAATTCGGAGTAATAAAAGTTTCGGTAAAATTGAGTTCGAGGTAATATCATAGACTAAGACAAGAAGGTCCAGAAGAAACATGCTCAACTTTTTGGCTCAGCTCTTGTACTATCGGTACTAGCGGATACAATGCAATATGCACTTAAATGTCAAATTTATACTAGATATCAAGATAGATATTTTTGACACACAGTTCGAAAGTAGGTGTTCACCTTTGGTAACTATACCGATAAATCTTAAATATTTGATCAACCAGGCCAGTTGTCATCAAGGTATCAGAAATCTATCTATCTCAATACATGTACATGTACTGTTTTGTTAGAGCTGTTTTTGGGGCCATCCATTAAGTTCGTCACGCTCTAAGGGGGTGTAGGGGAAGTTGTATAACGATTTTTTTTTACCGGAAAAACATGACAATAGTGGGGAAGATGGTTTGGTTTTTCCTGCAATTTTCGTGACGTACTTAATGTATACTCCCTTGCTATAACATAATAAGGGCAACTGTACGGACAACTCAACCATCACTGTGTGTTTGAACGTTTTATTCAGAGCTTTTCTCGCACACAAAGGGTTACTCTTCTCAGTCACTCAAACAAAAGTCTATTTTTTCATTGCTCTACTAATTTTATTACAAAAACATGTTTCTTGATTAGTCCATAGCTTATTAATGTTATTATAGCGGAATTAGTATATAGCTTATATGTGGCTAGCGTAATCTAATTAATGTGATTGAACAGTAAAGTAAAAGTGTTCTAATGGAAAAGGTATACAACATATGCAAACAGCGTAACGGAGCTTTATGCACACATACTGTAAGTTTATTGATGGTAGATTAAATGGAAATAATGCAATTCGATTTAGAACCAAATTTTCCGCGTTTTTTCTATACTTTTATTATACTTCTAGTATGTTTCCTAAATTTCTATGTAGTGAGCTGAAATTCTTTGAAGTTCTCTACATTTTTATGAAGTGCTACGAAGTTTTCTTAAGAGCAATGAAGTTCTTTAAAATCAAAAATAATTAAATTCTCCACCCTGTTCGCAAATGTTCTTTCTATCGCAAAATGTGCTAGTGACCGCCAATAAAAAAGCTAAAACAACCAAACAATCAACGGTTTTTTTTTTTTAAGACAACGCAGACTAAATATGTTTTATTAATTTATCTCCGCGCCTTTATGGCGGTAAGCTCCAACTCGGATTAACTTTGAATACCATCCTTGTGTGTATAATATACAAAATGTTTCCTTTTGATTCGTGTTGATTAACTCTGATGTCGACATCAAACCAGCCGGACATTCTTGATCTGGATTTAATCCGAAGATAATACCGGTTGGAGCTTTCCACCATTAATGTGTTAGCAACAGGCAAACATGAGCATATAGGTAGATCTAAAAAATATGTTGCTGTTACATAATTACTACCCGACAGACAATTTAATTATCTATTCATCCATCCCCACCTGGAATTTGTATAACTAACCCGGTAATTAACTCGCTATTCTTCTGAAACAAGTAACGAATTTGGATGTCGATTATTCAAAGCGAGTTTAGGTAGGTACTTGCAAAATCTTTAGCCATGCATTAGTCATGAAAAAAATCAACCTCCAATATATAAACTTGCAAGAGAATTTGCAAGAACTTTTCTACCTAATGCCCATTCACATTATTCATACCTGGATACACTACTTAAAGCATACCGCATGTTCACAATTGATCCATTTTGAAAATTTCTCCTTTCCAGTGAAGACAACCATTCGGCACCAATGTCAGTTCAAAACGTAGCACAACATCCACCCAATCGAACTCCAATGGAATCGATTTCAACGCAATACGAAAGTTCAGGCAGCATGAGCATGTGGGAAGCACTTGTACAAGTGGCTACTCAGCGATACGAAGAACTGCTGGAAGACGAAAGGCGTCAGAAGGAACGGCAAAAGCAAGAAACATCGATGATGGTTGGCGGACAGTGTGAAGCAGATCAGCAATCGTCGGACCAATCAGCGACGTTGATACGAAGTGCTGAGATTTCGATCGCAGAGAATGTAACGGTTGGCGGCGAAGATGAAGACGAAGAAGACCCAGGACGGTTGGTGATCGATGAAAGTGCAGCGGAGGTTCCGAAGGCGGAATCAGTGGTGGATCAAGTGGTACCAGTACTGAATGGAACAGAAGAACAGAAACAGCACATTCAACAGCAACGAGAAACGGTAATTCAACCTTGCCGGAGCAGTAGTGTGAACAGTGGAGGTGGCGACAACGGTCCAGCGGTACCGGATCAAGGTGAGTCCCCTCAGGTTCGTCTCCAAGCGGCAACGTTGACAACTGGGGTTAGACCAATCCGGCAGCCAAAGCACATGTCTCAGGTAACATTTAATCGTTTCATGCCCTATCAAATCCCGATGTCGTACAACAAAAATATGGCACGTAAATTTCCGGGAGCAGAATGCCGTACCCCGGAGCAGCAAGCGGTCCGCGAGAAGAACACCATCGCTGCCCGGCAGAGTCGCGCCAAGATGCGAATGATGGACGAGATGCTGCAGCAGGAGGCGAGCAACGAAAAAACGCACAACCACTACATGAAGGAACGAATGGCAGGGCTTTTCACGTATGCGAATGTTCTTCGGGATAAGATAGGATTAGAGGAGACAGATTTCCTTGAAGAATTTGAGCGCGTCAAACAGGACTATGTCCCAGGGCCGATGCGGACGCACTACGTACGGAATCGATCGCGCTCGGGACAAGGCAACGGGGAAAACGGCCAATCCAGTCCATTTGGTCTGAATGGTCATGTTGCAAGTGCCGGAGAGTCCGATGTAGCATTGAATGAAAAGTCAAACGAGATTACAAACGGTAGCGAAACGGATAGTGCTCCAGAACCCGATGGTACCGTGCTTGACCTTTCGGTTAAGAGTAAACGTGATAGGAGCGTCGGAAATGGAGTGTTTTAATTTGAATGATTTGTGAGCGTGAAAGTTTTAAATATTTATTTGTATGTTCATCGTAATTTAATATGTGTAACACGTTTTTAAGAACTTATAATCCGTTCCGCTAACAACAATTACATGACAAGGTTGACGAGTTCATACCATCAACTTACGCAAATACGCTTGAATTACGCTTATAGTCTTAATCCCAGTTAAAAACAATATCAAATGGAGGTCGAAAGTTTATCAAAATCTCGAAAGTTTATCAGCACTTGTGAAATACATATTTGTAAAAGCAATAAAAGTGTAATTGTACATACATTTAAAATACAACTCAAGTAAACAATCCTTTCGTTAAATAAGCAAACTATCCGAATCTTGAAAAACATTCTTTTATATTATTAGGAAAATGCTCTAGACTCGATTTCCAAAAACAAGGCAGATAAAACGCACCTATTTTTGGCCATGCTTCAAGTTTGAGATCATGAGTTGTGCTAAGATTGTTGATTCAAATCATATTCATCGGGGTGCCCATATAGATCGCCCACAAAACACAAGAAGCTTGGATTTGATCGTTTTTCTGAGGTATGGCCAAAATATCAAACTATTACCAAATGTACGTAGTTTTAGCAACCGGTGGAAACTCACGATTTTAATTTGACTTACACTTGACTAGCCTATCGGTCCCAAGTACATCGATTAACGTACCCCATTCTAGTCGAAATTCTAGTACTACGCTATGTTTGTTTTGATTCGCTATGTAAGTTTGACAGATAAAATGAGGGGTTCGTGGATTTTCCTGGGTTTCGAGGGGTGCATCGATTAGCTTGGGACCGAAGAGAGTACCAGAGCTGAGCCAAAAAGTTGAGCACGTTTCTTCGGGACCTTCTTGATTAGGCTGAGTACTTCTAGTGGCCACCTGACTCCATCCCAACGTACCCTGTCATGGTAAATGGTATTTCCAAATGCCACAACCGAACACACAATAGGACACACTGCCATAACGGAAGCATTCACTCTTGTCGAAAATGAAGCAATACACACATTATATACGATACCAACTTTATTTTTATGTATTTACTATCGAGATTTTTAGCCGCAGGCTGGTTCATCTCCCAATGATACCAACTGTAATTTAGGTACTTCAAATTTAGGTACTATTCAATTTAAATAGAATCGTCCAACTTAAGAGCAAATTGCGTCAAAATCCGCCGGTAACACACCTGATGTCAGTGCCTTTATATAAACGTATAATAAATTACTCTGTAAGCTCCTCAGAGTTCACTTCGAGTTTCCCTAACAATTCTTCACTTCAAAATTCTCCTCTGAAATCCCTTGAAATTATCCCTATAGTCCTTGGAAATTCTCGTCAAATTCATAAATTAAAGTCCAACAACTGAGAAACTTTTGTTAGGCCCTATTTTTTATATCTGCGTCGCTTGGAAAACATTCCAATATTTATTTTCGATCCAGATTCTTGAAAATTTCTTCTAGTCTGATTTTATTAGGTAGGTCCAGTGTTTCAAACATTTGTCTAAGTTTAAAATTTATTCATGATTCAGACCCCTAAGGAAAACCATTCAAGTTTCAGAATATATGTTGTTACTGAAGATAAATCCTCTCTAGAATTATTATGTTCAAAGAGTAAAAATGAATAACGAGGAAGAGAAAGTTGGTTGTATTTTAAAATGTTTTGAAATTCTTGAGAAGTTTCCTTGGTGCACTTTAATATATGCTATTAAAATTTTTATGATTTACTTGAATATCAGAATTTCAACATTCCCTGGGAATTCCAGTTTTTTTTTTCGGGAAAACTGAAATTCCCTGGGATTTCCGATTTTTCAGGTTTTGCAAGGTAGTAGACACTCTGCCACAATTTAGTCAACGGGATAAATTTATTTATGGAAGAAATATTACAAGGAACTGCATTACTATACATTCTATCACCGCCAGTGAATCACCTATTCTTCTATCTTATTGTCTTCTGTATTCGGTTCCAGCTTTCCCGAAAGATAACATTTCGCCTCTTGTTGATCCACCGAGGAAGCATCCGACATCTCGTTCGCCTTCTGCCACATTTCCAGGAAATCCACCGGTGGCAGATTCAATTTCTCCAACAGCACCATCGCGTAGCTCATCCTGGATGCCAAACCTGCTTTCAGTTCCACGTTCAACTTTCTAGCCTCACCAGCTTCCGTCTGGAGCAGATCGTTCATCAGCCGCATCTTGGCTCGACTTTCCCGTGCCGATACGGTATTCTTATTTCTTCGAGCTTTGTCCCGTTCCGATCGGTTCTGAACATCTGGGAACGATCGAGCCATCCTTTGATTGTACTTGACCGGTACGACCAGTTCCATTCCGGGAAAGACCGACAGCTGCGACATCCGTCGGGGGATGCGTTCCACCCTTTTGCGAACCAACCTGTCGCATTCGTCTGACCCCGTGACCGCCGAAGAGGCTGGAGTGGTGGGTGGAGATATTGATTCGATTGTGCAAGTGGAATGACTATCACTTTCCGTCGATTTGCAGTCGTCCGTCCAAAGGGGTCCTTCAACTATCCTACGGATTATCGAATGAAGCGTGTTCCGTTTACGTTTACGTTCTTCCATGGTGATGGTGGTGCCATGTCGTCCCATTTTCGGAGGAATTTCGTGACGAACGACCGGTGCCATGTTTTCGAGGTTTTGTTCTGGTACTCACTATTGTTTATACACTTGTGACCATTGAGTTACGACTGTCCACTCAACTGTGGATGATGCAGGAAGTCTTGCGACTGAGTTTTATAACGTCAATAGGTAGATTTGAGTGACGAGAGATCCGTGAACGCCGTACCTCGATTTCACAATAGGTATAGATTGAATCAGAAACTGAGTGTAATGAATCAAGAGAAGAGTGATGCTTTAATTTTAGGTAGGCGTTCCGAAGGACTCTAACTAGATACAGGCAACTTTTGCATGCATATCATTTCGACACCATCAAGAATTGAAAACCCCGTTCCCACCCTTTTTACAAACAACAACCTACCTACTGCGTTCGACAATACTGCTCATTTAGAAGACACACAAGCAGATTTTTCCACGGGTAAATACACATTGCACCGGCACTGTAACAACGTTGTTCTTGGCAATTCGGAATAGTAAAGCTCGCCTTACGTTAGCTTAAAATTCAACTCAAACGACATATCTTACTATATTTATTGCCTATGCGCAACTTGGGGTGGGTGCAACCCTACAAACGTATATCATAGGGGGGTGTATCGAATTGAATTGTCGTGAATACTTTCAAACATTTAACAGTGAAACAATCATAATAAGCGCGTCCTTATTCGTTACGGCTTACTGATGGTCGCTCTTAACTTAAACGAAATTCTAAATAATTTGAGAACGAATTTTTATTTTTTAATGAAAATGCTGCCCGCTGAACGCACGACTAGAATGGCATCGATTTGGTTCATTTTCTGCTGTGGTTCAACATGGTCGTCACCTTACCTACTAGATTCGTCGCTGACGGCGCGCTGTCGCTGTTGCGAGATTTTGTCCGAAGCTTACCGATTCTTATTGATCTGACTGATGAGGGCATTTACAGCTCGATGAACCCGTAGCAACAGCAGGAAGCCCAGATTCAGTCCGATGAAGGCGATGTAGCTGCTGATGCCCTCGTAGATGAAGCGAGGGGCGAAGATTTTCCACACCATCAAATGGCGGCAGTGCAGAGTACAGGCGAACATGGCGCAGAATATCTGTAATAGAATGGAATGATTACATGGCTTTAAAGTTCTCTCGCAAACCCAGAGCGCAACCAAATTCGTTAAAATTTGGGACAGATTGAAAGAGCAGTGGGGAGCAGGGGTTGCGAACCGCCATACAAACTTGACCCACACTAGTGCGCCTAGCGGGCTACCCCGTTTGGCATAAACATCATTTGGCATAAATACAGTCACCCCAGTATTACGGGTCACCCACAATTATGGGCCATTTCCATTTGATTAACACGCAGACTTGACTGACCTATACCGCCTATAATCCCGTACCAGTCCCATATGGAAAAAGTAGGCATTGAGAAAATGACAGTTGAAGTTATGAAGTGCAATTCCCATGTTAATATTTGATAAATAATAGTTAATTAATTGATAATTTTTTCATGTTAAAATCTGTTGCAATGAAGCTTGCATGTTTTGTTATATCAGCGAAAAATATGGTAATTCAAAAAGCAGATCTTTAACTTGAACTATGGGCGATTGAATTTCAGGATGGGACTGATATGCGATTATTTTGCTTGATGGGACAAACTAACCTGATGTTGTTTTCACATTTTTCATGATCAAAGTCCATAGTTTTATCACATAATATGAAAGTAGATGGCAATTGATAGTGGATAGCGTTGTTATATCAAAATTGACGAAAATCCATATGGGACTGATATGTGACTGTATATTTTGGCAAAAAATAAAGGATACGTTAAATTGTTAATGCAGTTTAATAACGCAAGCTTATAAAGATGGGCTACAAAATGGTGAGTTGACAACCTGGAAGGAGCGGAATACCTAACCCTGGTCCTCACAAGTTCCAACTTCACGTGTCCTCGAGTCATATGATAACAAAAGACTACCAGCTGAAACATGGACACAGCTGGGTGGCGTAGCCTGGGCAATGTTGCCAGTCCGGCAATAGCAAAGTGAAGAGGTGCGACGCGAACACTGGCGCGGTAACCATAGTACGGTGATAGAGGAAATGCTTCACCAAACCTGAGCGTCTGTTCACCATGAAGGTGCGGCTCAAAACGGCGTCTGTTCTCCATGTTAGGAGCGGCAGATCACCTTCCTAGCGCCAGCGTGGGACTCTAAACAGAGCTGTGCACGATGGTCCCCCGGCGAGACAGGGGGTTGGGGCAGGCCCAATAAGCCGCCCTGAAAAAAAAACAAAGTTGCAAATACTGAAGAAAGAAATACGGATCGGAACAATCGGCACAGACCTACGCGACGAAATAAGGACTACGATTGGAAACTCGGAACATGGAACTGCAAATCGCTTGGCTTCCCGGGCTGCGATAGGTTAATCTATGACGAACTTCAACCACGCAACTTCGAAGTCGTAGCACTGCAGGAACTTTGCTGGACGGGACAAAAGGTATGGAAAAGCGGGCATCGAGCGGCTACTTTCTACCAGAGCTGTGGCACCACCAACGAGCTGGGAACCGGCTTTGTAGTGCTGGGTAAGATGCGCCAACGCGTGATTGGTTGGCAGCCAATCAACGCGAGGATGTGCAAGTTGAGGATTAAGGGCCGTTTCTTCAACTACAGTATCATCAACGTGCACTACCCACACGAAGGGAGACCCGACGACGAGAAAGAAGCGTTCTATACGCAGCTGGAGCAGGTGTACGACGGCTGTTCGCAACGGAACGTCAGAATCGTCATCGGCGATATGAACGCTTAGGTAGGACGGGAGGCAATGTATAGACCGGCAATCGTGCCAAACAGCCTGCATGCCGTATCGAATGACAACGGCCAACGATGCGTGAACTTTGCAGCCTCTCGGGGTATGGTAGGATAGGATATCCACAAAACCACCTGGAGATCACCTGATCAACACACAGAAAACCAAATAGATCACGTTCTAATCGACGGGAAATTCTTCTCCGACATTATCAACGTCCGCACGTACCGCAGTGCGAACATAGATTTGGACCACTACCTAGTTGCAGTATGCATGCGCTCAAAACTCTCGACGGTGCATAACACTCGTCGAAGTCGAACGCCGCGACCCAACATTGAGCAACTACGGGACGCCGGAGTTGCCCAGGACTACGCGCAGCAACTGGAAGTTGCACTATCCACGGAAGAGCAGCTTGGCGCAGCTTCTCTTGAAGATGGCTGGAGGGACATCCATTCCGCCATAGGTAGTACTGCTGCAGCGATACTAGGTACTGCAACCCTGGACCGAACACCGCACGAGATTGAATGTGGAGCGATACAGACAAGCGCGGAACAGACAAAACTCGGTTTTCCGAAGGAAGAAGCGTCAGCAGGAAGACCGAGATCGCGAGGCGATGGAAAATCTGTACCGCGTAAACGACACACGGAAGTTCTACGAGAAGCTAAATAGTTCGCGCAAAGACTACGTGCCGCAAGCCGATATGTGCTAGGACTTGGACGGTAACCTTCTCACGAAAGAGTGTGAGGTGATTGAGAGGTGGAAGCAGTACTATGACGAGCACCTCAACGGTGAAGCAGCAGAAAACGAAGGTGGCACGGCAACAGACCTTGGAGCACGCGCAGAAGACGACAGGTTACCGGCCCCTGATCTTCAAGAAGTTGAGGAGGAGATCGGTCGGCTGAAGAACAACAAAGCAACTGGTGTAGATCAACTACCAAGTGAGCTATTAAAATACGGTGGTGAAGCACAGGCTAGAGCGCTGCACTGGGTAATTGCCAAGATTTGGGAGGATGAGATATTACCGGAGGAGTGGATGGAAGGTGTCGTATGCTTCTTCTTCTTCTTCTTCTTCCTCGCATTTCAAGCTTATTGCGTATGGCATATTAGCTTATTGCGTGCTCTCAACTTAGTGTTCTAGATGCACTTCCACAGTTATTAATTGAGAGCTTTCGATGCCTGTACCATTTGTGCATTGGTATAATTGTGTGGCAAGTCCAATCATACTTCTATGCCCAAGGAAGTCGAGAAATTTTCCAACCCGAAAAATTCCTAGACCGGACCGGGAATTGAACCCAGCCACCTCCAGCATGGTCTTGCTTTGTAGCTGCGCCTTTACCGACTGAGCTAAGGGAGGTCGTATGACCGATCTACAAAAAGGGCGACAAGTTGGATTGCTGCAACTACCGCGCGATCACACTACTGAGCGCCGCCTACAAGGTACTCTCCCAAATTCTATGCCGCCGCCTGTCACCATTTGCAAGAGAGTTCGTGGGGCAATACCAGGCGGGATTCATGGGTGCCCGCGCTACCACGGACCAAATTTTCGCGATTCGGCAGGTTCTGCAGAAATGCCGCGAATACAACGTGCCCACACATCATTTGTTCATCGATTTCAAATCCGCATACGACACAATCGTTCGAGATCAGCTAGGGCAGATTATGCACGAGTACGGATTTCCGGATAAACTGACGTGATTGGTCAAGGCGACGATGGATCGAATGATGTGCGTTGTTCGAGTATCGGGGGCACTCTCGAGTCCCTTTGAATCTCGAAGGGGGTTACGGCAAGGTGATGGACATTCGTGTCTGCTGTTCTACATCGCGTAAGAAGGAGTGATCAGAAGAGCTGGGAAAGACACGAGTGGCACGATATTCAGGAAGTCAGGATGACATTGACATTATGGCACGGAACTTTGAGATGATGGCGGAAACGTACATCAGACTGAAGGCTGAAGCTAGGCGGATTGGACTTGCCATCAACGCAACAAAGACAAAATACATGAAAGGAAGAGGTTCTAGGGAAGACAATGTTAGCCTCCCACCCCGAGTTCAGATTGAAGGTGACGAAATTGAGGTGGTCGATGAGTTCGTGTATTTGGGCTCACTGATGACCGCCGAAAATGATACCAGCAGAGAAATTCAAAGACGCATTATGGCAGGGAATCCGTGCCTACTTAGGACTCCGGAGGACGCTCCGGTCGAATAAAATTCGCCGCCGCTCGAAGTTGACTGTCTACAAGACGCTGATTAGACCGGTGGTCCTCTACGGCCACGAGACCTGGACTATGCTTGTGGAGGACCAACGCGCCCTTGGTGTTTTTGAACGGAAGGTGTTGCGTACCATCTACGGTGGAGTGCAGATGGATGACGGAACGTGGAGGAGGCGAATGAACCACGAATTGCACCAGCTGCTGGGAGAACCATCCATCGTCCACATTGCAAAAAATGGGCGACTACGGTGGGCTGGGCACGTCGTAAGAATGCCGCACGACGATTCAGTGAAAATGCAGCGGGCAAGTTGGATCGACCAAGTAGAAGGTGACCTGCGGACCCTTCGCAGACTACGAGGCTGGCGAACTGCGGCCATGGATCGAGTAGAGTGGAGACGACTGCTACAGACAGCAGAGGACAACAAGGCCTTAGCCTGATTGGTTAGGTTATAAAGATGGTAAAATAGGAAGTGTTGAACATTTAGTTAAGTAATTACAAATAATGAATTTTTGCTCCATTGGTTGCGTGATATATAAAAGGAGCAGTGAGAAAGCGTCAATTACTCATGGTGACTAGAGTCGGTGTATAATGGGTCACGCCAAGATTGAAGCCAAGACTACCTATTGAACTGTCAGCCGGTTCGTGTCTATCGTGCAAGGTAAACAAAAAATATGATGCAATGAAAGCTGCACGAAAGGTATTGCAATTACGTATAAAATTTAATCGAAGAAATGATCATAAACACGTGGTAAGCATTAAATTGTCATGGAATACGTATTGTAATGATCAGTAATGATAATTTGTAATATTTGTTGGTAATTAAATTCGACAAAATCACTGATATAATCATTGACTACAGCCGCTAATTAGTTTTCTCGTTAGAAGTCATTTGAAGTTGATGCAGAAGTCCTCTGTTGCGAAAGGGAATCTTGCAAAAAACGTGATCAAATTAAATTTTATAATCTGTACAAATGTTGAAGACAACGGGCTTGAGTCAATGAGATGTATACAGGTGTGGCACAACAGGGTATTTGTTGGTATTAGTATTGTCGCGCTTATGTTAAATTCTAATTTGATGACGATCGAAGCGCACCGCTCATAAGCGCGCTGCAACCCCACTCATAAGGATTCTACACAGGTGTGTAACTTAAATAGTATTTTATGGCAGCGGCTTGAGGAGCGAATCCTGGATAAAGAGCCGCCGTATGTTAAATCGATGGGCGCAGTCATACGGCCATAAAAAGAGAACAGATGGTATAATCCCATTTTGAGAAATTAACATGCTACACACAATAGTGATCCCTAATAAAATTGTTATGGTTATTTTGCTTAACGACGTGTTCGGGGTATCATCCAAACCATTTGTGAAATAGTTCTATTATTTGGGTTATCGTTCGCTTATGGTATTTTTTTTATTAGGGATTCCGTCAACATATATTGTACAATTTACATTTTTTTTAATTTTTAATTAATAGCGAATTCGTTTATTATCGGGGTTAACACCAGTTCCAACCCAGTGCGAAACCGAACTTTTTGTCAGTATGAACCTCAATCTAAACTAGGTTTTAAAAACAAACCAGCAAACTGACGTTTGTCAGAAAACAAGCAGACCCAATCTTTATACCCGATCCAAGTTGGAACTGAATAATTAAACGAATTCGCTATAAATTTGTTACCAAAATCAAGCTGTGATTTGATGTGAGTTTTGAAGGCAAATTCTTTACTCTCTATTGGCTGCATTGGTTGTAAAAAAGTGACTTTAGTGACTAAATTTAAAGAAATTCTGATTTGGTGACATTTTAGCGACTGACTTGAAAATAGTGACCTAGCCTCTAAACTTGCGACCAGGCCTGCAAACAGCGTTCACTCACGCTCAGCACTGAGATCGCTACAGGGTAAACATATTGTCAATACTCAAAAGTCTTCTTCTACTTCTTCGCTTTTCAAGCTTATTGCATATCGCATATTAGCTTATTGCGTGCTCTCAACTTAGTGTTCTAGATGCACTTCCACAGTTATTAATTGAGAGCTTTCGATGCCTGTACCATTTTTGCATTGGTATAATTGTGTGGCAAGTCCAATCATACTTCTATGCCCAGGGAAGTCGAGAAATTTTCCAACCCGAAAAATTCCTAGACCGGACCGGGAACTGAACCCAGCTACCTCCAGCATGGTCTTGCTTTGTAGCTGCGCCTTTACCGAGTGAGCTAAGGGAGGCCCAAAAGTATTGACAATATTGATGATCATATTGACGAAAAATCAAAAAAGTTTGATTTCATGTTTCAATACTACCCCTCATTTTCCCTTCTGTTTGACTACAGCCATGGCCAATTAGTACCTCTTAGAATTAGTATAACTCAGAGAGAGAGAGAGCCACTTTTACTCAGAGATATGGAGAAATTTCTTTAAACTGCAGGAACCCGAGTCTGGAACCGGAAGGGTGCTGTTTTGAATTGAGTTGGGGGTTTCCAATTTTGTTTTGCATTTCCTTATAAATTCACTACTAAAGCTAACCTAAACCTTCCTCATAAATCTCAAGCACGGCTCAGGCAAAATTTGCTACTTACCCTAACTCCTTGAATCAACAGCAACTGGCAGCCTGTTTTGAACGCGGTGCCCACAAACAACTTCTCGTTCTCGTACAGATTGATTTCCCCTTTCGTCACATCAAAATCGATCTCCTTCCTGGTGGCGGCACTGCTTCCACCTCCCTCACCATCCTCCTCCCCATCGGCGTCCTGTTTGTTTACCGTGACACTCCGGTACTCGACGTTTCCGGCATCCGTTTTGCGAGTACTCTTGGCGGTCCGTTTTGCTCCCGTGGTCTTCTGGTAGATTTTTTGTGCTAAAGCTGGCCACATGGTGTACACGCAGAAGGGCGTAAAGATGATCAGCGGGAACAGTGTGGACAGTAGGAAGGTAACCGAGAAGGTGTTCAGCAAAACGAGAACAGCGGAAATGATGTTGTTGTGGTCGAAGTACCACGTCCGACCGACGAAGGCAGCGCTCCAATCGATTTGCGACATGGTCGGTTGATGGGAGGTGGCGTAGAAGCCAAACTGCATCAGAATGATCCAGGCCAGGAGGGTGGTGAAGGTCGGTTGGAGGCACGTTAGGAGGTTGATGGAGTTTTCATATTGTAAGATGGAGGAGATGATGCCGTAGCAGATGGTGACGACAAGGGTCAAGATGAGGCCAGCAGTTCCGTTGGAGCCGAGAAGGAGCGAGAGTAGGATGACTATGAAAACTCCAATGGAAATAAAAACGGACGAATAGACGGTGGCGAGACCGCAAACGATGGGAATCTCGTCGGATGGTGCATTGGATTTGGAGTTGTAGCTGTCCCGCAGCTGTCGGTAGATTTCGGGGGCGATGTTAGATTGGTCTCCGTAGAGAATGTTCATCATTTCCTTCTTTTTCGGTAGAACGAAGATCATGAGCGGTCGAATTAGGAAGAGGATGATCTGCAGCAGTAAGAGCAGGTAGACTGTCCAAGCGAAGGCATCCACATGAATCTGAGGAACGCCTTTGGTATTGTTGATGGCTAGGGTGAAGTGGCCACATGCGCAAACCACCCCCAGAGGTGGGCCGTATCGAGCAAACATAATGTTGAAGGAATTTCCAGTCAAGTTCCCACAGGCTCTGAGGTAGAATCGGGCACTGATGATATAACAAACCAATGCCACAATGGGAACTAGATCAAATTCGGGACCCGATTTCCGTCGGGCATCCGGTGTCGGAGCTTTTACAAGGTAATCCGTACAGTTTCCTTGCTCTTCCCGGCAGCGGAAGTAGCTGCTGGAGAAACGAACCAACGAGATTCCGAAAAGTGCCAGAGCTAGAAGCTTCAGGAAGGTTGATTTGCGCAAATTTGGCCAACGGAAGCGCAGCACCTTGAACTGGCTGTTCTTTTGAATGTTGTAAACGGCAAGCAGAAAGAATCCAATCAGCACGTAGGACAGTATTTTCTGCTCTTGGATGATGAAGCTATTCGAGAAGAACACACAGGTCGTAAAGGCGAAAGAGATTCTGGTGACGAAGTTTTTCTTATGATTGTACTGGCTGATGTTCTCGGTGATGTTAGTCCAGTTTTGGATGGCCAGGAAGAACAGAATTCCGATGGATGCAATTGAGGCGAAGAAGAGAGCTCCATGTTCGGCCGACGATAGATTAAAGTCCCGATGGAAGAAGAATCCGGATGTTCCAGCCATGAAGCAAATGACCACGATGTAGTAAATAACTTGCCCATTGAATATCTGTCCTAGCTGATGGGCAGTAGAATTGGTAATCAGGATAAAAATAGCAAAACAAGCGAGGAATGTAACCAGAAGACCATGAGAGATCAGCTGGGGATCGAATTTCACCCAGATTTCTCGACAGCTTTCCAAAATATCCTTAAGGTAGAGACGAAGGTCTTTGGAGAAACTCTGAAACGCTGCTTCCGTGTAGACAGTGTTGACCCGTTGAGTTAGAATGAGGAATTTGTTCTCGAAATCATCCAACTGTTCTACCGTGAATGTTCCTCGATGTGATTCCGTGTACTGCTGGAAGTAGCTCTGAACCTGTCGAGCATTTTGCCACAGATGAAGCAGGGCTACTTGGTACCTTAGGAACGAATCTATTTTTTTATCCGGAAGTAACTGAAAGTTGATTTGCCCCAGGTTGGAGTACGGGATGGGAACACCCAGCAAAACCGACAGCAGTGGGATCAAATCAATCTGCTGGATCTCTTTTTTATGTTCGTCATATTCCTCGGTTAGCAAAGGAACTCCCTTGGAATACATGAAGAACAAAGCGTTCACCTCATCGGACGATTCTCCCCCGTGGTCGCCAGTTTGTGTCATTCCATGATCTCCAATCACCAACAACGTCGTTTCATCATCCATCTGCTCCGTCACATTCCGTATAACTGCATCCATCTCGCTCAACTTTCGCTGCATTTCATCGTGCAGCGGCCCGTACCGATGTCCACAATGATCAACTCCCAAAAAATGTGCCACAATGAAATCCCAATCTTTTTTGTCAATTTCCCGCGGCAGATACTTCTTAATCGCCGTGTCAACGGTATCCAAATCGTGGATGTTGAAGCTCGGATAGTCGTACTTTCGCTTAAACCTACCCGGGAACAGTTCCGTCCAGGTACTATCGCCCAGCATTACCGCCGTCAGATTGTTTCTGACCCACTGATCCACCACGTTGTCTTCGTTAATTTCAGGCGAGGCAAAGTTCGAACCTATGTCGATGAACGTTGGCAAGCTGCCGGTGGTCATACCCTTTAGCCGTTGCAGCGTCGTGGTCGGTGGATCGGCAACGAATTTCAACTTGCGAGTTTGATCCGGATAGCGGTTCATCAGTTCCGCCAATATTGGCAGTTTATTCTGGTAGGGAAGTGGATGTTTTAAGCTGGGTTCGAACGTCCCAAAGTCGTACCGAAGGGCATCGATCACCAGCAGGATAACTTTGCTCTTTTTTGGCAAACAAATGTTGGCCGACTGGTTGACGTCCCGCAGAATCGATGCCACCTTCTCGGAACTATTGCAGGCGCCCTAAAATCAATCATTGACGGTAAAGTGACAGTTTTTATCTAGTAATTTACATCGAATAACTTACGATGGGCTCTTTATCATTGCCACACTGGTAATCATCGTATGGGATGCAGGTGTTGACGTCAGTCTGTGCTATCCGGGTCAACAGAAAGCCTTTGGAAAACAGATGAATGCCGGCTCCCAGAATCAGCGAAAGCCACACGAGCACGAACACGAAATTCCACGATTTGGCCAGTGCCATTTTGCCACCAACCTTAAATGCAATCTTCACTAAACTGCATGCAACGTGAACCAAGAACTTATAGATTCATTCTCGAACCAGAATTGGAACAATCACTGGAAATTAAGTGGCGAGATTACACAACTTCCAGCCGATCGCGCGCACGACACCCACCCACACACTGTTCGTACTGCAGCAAAAAGATAAAAAAAAAATCTTCTGCCCTTCGCAACACTACGCGATTATGAAGACATTTTCACACGTCTGCTTCAATTAAGTTAAGGTGATAATTGAGATAAAAACGCCGGAAAGATTGCCCAATCTATTCGACGCAGCATACACATTACACAAAAATCGCACTGTTTTGGAAGATTCTTCTTTTTTTTCTGGTCGACGGAAATCTGACAGTTTGAGTGCAAATTTGACAGATAAACAGCTGATTGTATGGGCGATGGATTCTGGGCATTCTGGGTGATGACACTCACGTCACGACCAAGATGTATACAGTAATCCCTCCGTTTATGCGGTGGATGGTACCACTGCTATTTTCTCGGATGTCCCTCAACAAATTGGGTTCTTTAAGGGTATTGACACAGGAGTGGAACTTCGGATCAAAAAGTGGCTCCGCTTGTCATTTGCGAACACTAGCGCACCTAGCGGTAGAAGGCATGAGCAGAAAAACGAACACTTTTTGATTCACCGATTTGTTTGCACTTCCCCTTCTGTTCTGTGGTATTGAGGTAAATGCATATTCGTAATCTGCATTAAAAATGGAACCCAAACTCAAAATTTCATCAATTTTGGTACACGGGAACTATTTTATTGTCAAAATCACCTAACTATTTATTGTCAAAATCACCTTATTTACGCCCCTCGGTGTCACTTTGTATGGGAGCGAGCTGTCAGTTCGTTAGTTTAGTGTCAAACAGTGAAGTTATTATTTTGCTTTAAATCTTGATTTAAAAATCGAGATGAAAGTGTGGGTTCGAAAAAAATATCGCTGTGCTCAGAAAACGTAAAAACCGATATATTTTTCAAAATTAAAGAACCCAATTGGGTTCTTTATATTGACACAGAACAGAAATGAAACTTCGGAAATGTGGCTCCATATTATTTTTATGAACACTAGCGCACCTAGTATGTTGATAATTCATTTTTTTCCTATAGTCACTTTAACACTCTTGGATCATTCGTGTCTTATCCGGATTAGATTCCCTATAATAAAATTGTTATGGTTATTTTGCTTAACGACGTGTTCGGGGTATCATCCAAACCATTTGTGGAATATTTCAATTATTTACGATACGTGAGATACGTGAAGTACTAATGGGACGCTTTATTAAGCTGTTTACCAGCCAGGTGGAAGCAGTGATGCAAAATTTAGACAATACACGGTGATATCACAGACAAACAGACATAACTATTTGAAAAAGTTTTTCTTGAAAAGTAGTATCTCACAACATAGGACCTGAGTAACGACATCTCTCGGCCTTCTCGCGGAAAACAAGCTTGCTCGCTAACTCGCAAACAATATTGCATCAAAGTTCTACAGAATGTATAGAAACGTCAAAGTGATCCGATGCCAGCGTTGCGGCGAGTAGTTCGTGGAACTGATAATATTCAAATCAACCGTTAAATGCGTGAACGAAGATACACAATGAAGTGTTACGCCTGTTTGTCTGTGGTGATATTAACAATTATGCTTTGGTTAATTATTTAAGCAAACTGTCATCGTCAAAGCAAACCATGTCAATTGTCAATGACAATGCTGTCAGTGACAAACATGTGCAGATTGTTTTATTAGCTAAATATGCAACGAAATTTAATGACATGAGCAACACAATTACACGGAGCCGGTAATGTGAACAAGAATCTAAGTCCTGAACTGTTGGATAACAATGCCCGAACGTTAAGCAAATTAACCTTACAATTTTTATTAGGGTTGTTATTGACGAAAAAATTATTGAGATTTTCACGAAGGTTTTTATGAGAATCAAGTCTGTCATTGACTATGTGAAAAACAATATTTGTCAATGACAATGATAAATATTAGCACTAGAGTCGGTGTATAATGAGTCACGCCAAGAGAAAAACAGTTGAACTCGCATCACGGTTTTCGAAGGATTCCCTTTCTTTTCACTTGGCAACAGAGGACTTCTACATCAACTTCAAATGACTTCTAGCTAGAACAAAAAATTGCGGCTGTAGTGAATCATTATATCAGTGATTTTGTCAAATTATCTTATCAAACAATAGTAGAAATTCTCATTACTGATTATTAGCAAACGTATCCCATGACAATTTAATGCTCACTGGGTGCTTATGATCATTTCTTCAATTTTATTTTATATTTTATTGCAATACCTTTCGTGGACCTTTCATAGAATCGTAATGTTTGTTTACTTTGCACGATAGGTAGCCGGTTTGACAGTTCAATAGGTAGACTTGGCTTCACTCTTGGCGTGACTCATTATACACCGACTCTAATTAGCACTGGGTGGAAGGGGTGGAAGCAATCCAATGAGCTGGATTACCGAGGTGAAGCAATCGGTTAAGTTGTGTGAGTGAAACCCATGTAAGATACAAGCAATTAGTGACGTCACTAATTGCGTTTACGTTGATTTTTTGGTTTGCTAATACCACCATATTTCACGATCTGCTTCACCTTTATTTTTATTTTTTGTTCTTTATTAAGGAGATTTTTAGCCTATGGCTAGTTCATCTCCGAAAGATCTGCTTCACCTCTCTCTGTACTCATTGGAAGCAATCCTCGATACTAAAGAGCCTGAATTTATAAAGAGACGACATGTCAAAATTGGAACAATCTATTATCTGTCAAAGTCATAGGAAAAGTCATTCCAATCGAGCAGAAGACCTGTCAAATGGATAAGATGTCGCCTCTTTATAAATTCATTCTCTTTAGGGTTTTTTTTTGCTGGTGTCTGATGCGAGGTCTGATGATGGCTAAGACCATGGTTGGTCCATTAGACTGATGCAAAATATGTCTTTTTCGCTCCACAGTGCCTAAATGGTTTCAAATCGGGTCCTGATTAGCCTCCCGAATAGAAATTGTAATGTAGGAAACATCAGCAGACATCTTCAATACATTAAATTTTAATGTGTATTGCTGTACCCTTAATGTATTCAGACTTCAGTGTGACATCCAAGTACATAAAAATACATTAGCCTCAAACGTTACATCAGAATCAAACGTCTTGACGATGTAAAATTTGACATCAGAATACATCCAATGACAACAGAACCAAACGTTACATAAGAATCAAACTTCATCACGATGTAATTTGTTGCACGCATAAAACATCAGAATACATCCAATTACAACAGAACCTAACGTTACATTAGAATCAAACTTCATCACGATGTAATTTGTTGCACGCATAAAACATCAGAATACATCCAATGACAACAGAACCTAACGTTACATTAGAATCAAACTTCCTCACGATGTAAATTGTTGTCCTTCGGTCCCTCGTCGCATGCAAAGTTTGTTTTGTCCTGAGTCAGCACTACACGGCGAATGAGAACACCCAAATTTGAGTTTAGTTCACTCATAAATCGCAAAAAGTACAGGAACTCAGTTTTGAGTTAATTTACCTCTGTTTTTCCAGGTTTTCCAGGTTTTTCCAGTAAAATTTTTCCGAATATAAGAAAAGTAAAGATTGGATTCTGTGGATTTTCGTCAATCCTAATTTTCCGGAAGATTTTTGAAGTTTTCCACCGGAAAACATGAGGCAAATCTCGAGGCAAATTTACTCATCGCTGCGTTCCTGCATTTTTTGCGATTTTGAGTACACTGTATTCAAATTTGGGTTGATCACATTGGCCGTGTACAGTTTTTTTTTCGCGGTGTCCATCGCGAGTTTTGGTAGCGATTCGGTGTCCGGCGTTGCGGCAAATCCTTTGGTTTGTTTTTTTCCGTCGATCTTGTTTTCCGTGCTGAGCACCAATGCTACTGACGTGCCAGGAAGGCAGCTCCCACACCTGGACCCCCGCCAGTTTGAAAGATTGGGAGTCCCGCGATCGCCCTTGGAAAAGGAAGGCTGTTTTTCAGGTAATAAAATTTAAAATTTTAAATTAATGTACTGTAATTATGTTTTTTTTTAGGAAAGTGCACCAGTGCGAAGCCGGATCCCGGTAGGGAGTCTTTGCAGGTTAGTGAATGTGTTTATTGTTTTTTTTTTATTTGATTGACAAATAAATAAATAAATAGGGGGAAGAGGGGCATAGTGAGCATCCCGCAGTTTGGCTTTGGATCTCCAGCTGCATGAAACAAATCAACTGGTAGTAGGTTCAATATCATTATGATATTGATCCTACCACCAACAATTTTTTTTTTCCGAACAGCCGGAAGTTCAAGCTGGATGCTCACTATGCCCCACCTGTTCACTATGCCCCTCTTACCCCTACTAAAAGCTAAAATAAAGTGGAAAATGACGGGTTCCGTAGGCGGATCCCGATGACGGGTTCCGTAGACGGATCCCGATGACGGGTTCCGTAGACGGATCCCGATGACGGGTCCCGATGACGGGTCCCGATGACGGGTTCCGTAGACGGATCCCGATGACGGGTCCCGATGACGGGTTCCATCGACAGATCCCGATGGGGAAACCGAATACGGGTCCCGATGGGGATTCCGTAGACGGATCCCGATGGGGATTTCGTAGACGGATTCCGATGGGGAAACCGAATACGAATCCCGATGGGGAAACCGAATACGGATCCCGATGGGGAAACCGAATACGGATCCCGATGGGGAAACCGAGTACGGGTCCCAATGGGAAAACCGAATACGGATCCCGATGGGGAAACCGAATACGGATCCCGATGGGGAAACCGAGTACGGGTCCCAATGGCGAAACCGAATACGGATCCCGATGGGCAAACCGAATACGGATCCCGATGGGGAAACCGAATACGAATCCCGATGGGGAAACCGAATACGGACCCCGATGGGGAAACCGAATACGCATCCCGATGGGGATTCCGTAGACGGATCCCGATGGGGATTTCGTAGACGGATCCCGATGGGGAAACCGAATACGGATCCCGATGGGGAAACCGAATACGCATCCCAATAGGGATTCCGTAGACGGATCCCGATGGGGAAACCGAATACGGATCCCGATGGGGAAACCGAATACGGATCCCGATGGGGAAACCGAGTATGGGTCCCAATGGGGAAACCGAATACGGATCCCGATGGGGATTTCGTAGACGGATCCCGATGGGCAAACCGAATACGGATCCCGATGGGGAAACCGAGTACGGGTCTCAATGGCGAAACCGAATACGGATCCCGATGGGCAAACCGAATACGGATCCCGATGGGGATACCGAATA